GAATTCCGCGACCTCGGAGTCATGATACAAGACAATTTGAAAACAAACTGTCCCACAGCCAAAATTCGAGCGGCTGGGCTTCGGTGTTTATGGATGTTGAGAAAGACCTTTTGTTTGTGGTCTCCCGCCAGATTTAAAAAGCTGTTCTCCATCTATGTTCGACCTGTCATCAAGTTCGCGGGCATGGCCTACTTTCCTTGCTATGCAGGAGAAATGCTCGCACTCGAATAGGTGCAACGGCTGGGTTCTCTGAGGGTTCCACAACTCCGTGGCCTTCCATATGAAGCACGTCTTCGATTTAGAATTGTTTTCATTGGAGTATCGTCGCCTCGAGGGGACCTAATTTTTCTGTTCCGCATGGTTGTGCTCAAACACTACCCAGAGTTGGATTGGATCATCCTCCTAAATTACGATGCTCACACCCGAGGCCACTCCTTTGGCCTAGTCCAGCAACGCTCAGACCAGCTGCCGCAGAACTACCGGTTTTCCCGTCGGATCATCTAAGACTAGAACTCGCTGAGTGAGGATATTGTCCAAGCGAAGTCGGTGCCCAGTTTCGGAAGACACCTTGATGCCTTTATACTTATGGCTGCGGATGACAACATCTACTCAACCGGTCATCGGTTCCCACTTCCTTTCGAGGATCGCCGTCCTGTTTGGTTTTATTTGTTGTCTTGAAATATCTTTGAAGAGACTCCTCCGGGCCTCGGCCTTTTTTTCTTAAATATATTGAAATTGAAATTAAACAAGCCATTGTGAATTTCACTGAAACCTAGCTTTTGGCAGCCATTGCGGATTCTCAAATATCATTTAAAGGCTGTCAACATCTCCTCAGATATAGACTTAGTCAGGAGGAAGAGCTAAGAATTATGGCAATTGCAAGCTGACCGCTATGACTGCGGTCCATATTCCAGCATGAGATGTTGAAATGTCCAGCATCACATTATCTGCTAAGTATGCCAAACCGCTGATTCGTTTGGTGGCATATTTTTCGCCTTATCAGATCTCTCATCAAGTTCTCATCCGCAAAACAAACTGTACAAAGTTAGGGAAAAGCAAGTATTCCTTATCGTTGGTAATTTTAATGCTCTTGTTATTGACTGCGAAACGTGGACTACACAGGCGCTGTGAGAAAATGAGAATTTAAAAACTACTACAATGATCACAGAAAACCTCTCTACTAGGGAAGAACAACGGTCGGACTGCCTTGACCTTCTTTTTATCAGAGAGAGGGAAAATGTAATGGACCTGCACGATCGATCCCCATTAAGATCGAACAACCGCCTTAGGCAGTACTTCAAGACTCACTGTTTTCCAAACTAGCTTTGCATAATACGTGGGACATAAATGTTTGGAAAGGGGACTTCCCATATGTGAGAATAGAAATGAAAAAGATATTCTGGAAAACAAAGTAACCAGGTAGAGCAAATTACCACTGGGCGACCCTCTATGGGATACTTAAGGGGATTGTTTACCTCAAAAGCCTTGCCAGAAGAAAGACAAGTACAAACAGCCCAACGGGCATTAAGTCAAACTTGTAAGCCTCCTTCAAAAAATGAAATCATTTTTGCCGCTGTTACACGCTAACAGGCTCCGGTAAACTGCAGGTGGCTACTGTTCATTACTGCAGGTGGCTACTGTTCAGAGTGGGCACCTGTCAAAAGTGGAGTTC